GAGACAGACAGACAGACAGACAGACAGAGACAGACAGACAGACAGACAGACAGAGACAGACAGACAGCACCGAAAGGCAAAGGGTAAGAGAAGGAGAAGAGAGCAAAGCCAGCAGAGCTCACCTGTACCAGGGGCACCAGGCACAGGAGTTGCCATCTTTCTGAACCACCCGAAGGGTGAAAGGGTACTGATATCCCAAGCTGTCATCGCTAAGGAAAACACACAGAGAGACACATTGTTATTTCTAATGTGTTAAGACTCTTTGGATTTTATTTCGCTTGTTCCTCACTGATCTTTTAAGCCAGGTGGGGAAACTGGCAAGCCTTGGACTCAGTTCAAGAATCCTCAATGCGGGCCTTTGAAAAGAGGCTCAGCTGATCGTTTTTGATTTAGCCCCGTTTGGTTTGGAGGTAAAATCCGCAACGGATTATCCCCATAGCTCTAACAAGCCTGTCCAATACCACAATAATAATCAGAAGGTGTTTAATCCAGGGCGGGGACCCACAGCCCTTTTATGACTTGTGGACTTCAACTCCCAGAATTCCTGAGCCAGCTATTCTGGGAGTTAAAGTCCAAAAAGTCACAAAAGGGCCATGGGTCCCTACTCTTGGTTTAATCTATGCCTTTTTCTGACACATTTTTTTTTTTTTTTTTGCTATTACAGCAGAAAGTGTTGGCGGAATGCCAGTCTGCTAGCCAACGCTCCTCTAGATTAGGGTTGCCAAGCTCGATTTCATTGAGGGCCACATCAGGATTGTGTTGACCTCGGGGGTGGGTGGGGGTGGCCAGCTCGACGTCACTTGTGTTGGGGGTGCCTGTGATGGGCCAAGTGCTCTGTCAGCAAAAACTCCCGAGTTTCGGCTCCCGAGCTCCATTTCCAGCTGTGACGGCCTCCTGCAACTCTCTGGCAGTGGAAACGGAGCTCTGGAAGGCCACGTGTGGCTCACATGAGTTCCATTTTAGGCTACGACGGCTTCTTGCAATCCTCTAGCTATGAAATTGGAGCTTTGGAAAGCTACGCGTGGCCCATGCGAGTTCTGTTTTAGGCTGCGATGGCCTCTTGCAATCCTCTACCAGTGAAATTGGAGCTCAGGAAGGCCATGTATGGCTCACATAAGTTCCATTTTAGGGTGCAACGGCCTCTTGAAATCCTGTGCCAGCAAAAATGGATCTCAGGAGGGATGCCCAGTGCCCTCCCGAGCTCCATTTTCACTGGCAGAGGCACTGCGGGCCAGTCCTTCACTGTTTCCAGGGCGGCCCCATGGGCCAGATCGAAGCCCCACACAGGCTGAATCCAGCCCACCGGCGTTCAGTTTGACACCCCTGGGGTAGACATACCTAACTCCCTCAACTTGTTCATCGCAAGCTCCGTTTCTGTTTCCGCATCCTGAGCTCCGTTTCCGGCTACGACGGCCTCCTGCAACCCTCTGCAAGTGAAAATGGAGCTCAGGAGAGGCATGTGTGGCCCACGTGAGTTCCGTTTTAGGGTGTGGTGGCCTCTTGCAATCCTGTGCCAGTGAAAGTGGAATTTGGGAGGGCTGCCCACGGCCCTCCTGAGCGCCATTTTTACTGGCAGAGGAACTGCAGGCCAGTCCTCCATTGTTTCCAGGGAGGCCCCGCGGGTCAGATCTAAGCACTTTGATCTAAGGGCCTTGAGTTTGACACCCCTGCTCTAGATGAACGCAAACCAAGATATTTTCAAATTTCTTTTTTTTGCCAAGATAGTCCTTGAATAAGGTAAATGTAGTCCTCAATTTACAACCATTCATTGAGCAAGTCTCTGAAAGTACAGTTAGCTCTGAAGAAAAGCGATTTACAACCAGTCCTTGCACTTACGATCATCACAGCATTCCTATGGTCAAAATTTGGGCGCTTGACAACCGGCATGTATTTACAATGATCGCAACCTCCCAGGGTCACGTGATTCCCATTTGTGACATTCCCAGCCAGCTTCTGACAAGCAGTCAATGGGGGAAGCCGGATTCGCTTAACGGACATGTTTCGCCTAACAACTGCAGCGATTCGCTTAGCAAGTGTGGAAAAGAAGGTCAGGTATGATTCACCTGAAGGGCAACGCCTTGATGACAGGCCAAGCCACTTGTATATAAACAGAGGACAAACCCTGCTCCCTTCTAGCACTGATGATATTACCTAGTTGGGTAATGAAAACGTCTGCGAGAAAACCACCAAGATCAG